TGCAAGCGTAGATTTATTACAAGCATAATTCCCGATATAATGCTGAACACAGTTGCAAATTATGGTATAGCCCCCATATTTGGGTTGGGTCAGTTCAATGATTTACACGGTTCAGTTTTTGTAATGGTTTTTCAGACCTCTCGAACTGTGGTTTTGATTTTCATGGTTGATTCAGTGTTATTTGTAAATACATTTCAAAATTTTACATATCCCAAAATTTGGCGGCTCAAGTGGTTGAATTAATAAGACCCAAATTGAAATACAGCTTTCGTTCGGCTCAAGTTTTATTTTTCTTGACAGTGGTTTGGTTCACGCTTCGGTTCAAAACGATACCGAACCGTTTTGCAGCCCTTCACATTACAAGATGCTGCCTTCCCTAAACCTAAACCTATATTTGGAGGCATTGCAAGAAAAAAAAAAACATTGAAGTCCATTAGCTATACCGACCATAATAGTATTTCTCAAACCAACCAAAAGTAGTGCTGGCAACTCTTTCTGAATCTAGAAGTTTTCTCATTGTCATCTCATTTCATAATAACAACAATGAGAGAGAAGAGAGAACATTTTCATTTTCCAAAAGCCCAGCATAGTAAGTGAGAAGAACGAAATAAGAAAAGAAAACAAATTGAAAATCGAGAGCAAATAACATTTCAATGTTCAAAACAGCCGATAAAGAAGAAAACTATGGGGAACAAAATGGTTAAATGCAAACAAACACAGGAAAGAAAGTCTCCAATACAATTGAAATTAAACGAAACGACAAAGCAACGTAAGGATGGACGGACAAATGGGGATGGCGATGGCATGGGGATAAAACATAATCACAAATAATAGATGAGAGCGAAAATGAATGGTTGCGCGATCGATCGGTAGCACGGACCCGATCCGACCGGGCCGGGACCGATCGACCAACCGACCGACACACCGCAACTGTTTGGGAATTTCTGAGCGGAAGAGGGGGAGAGTGCCTATGAATATCGAATTTTTTCAAACATGATCGATTACAAATAACAAACGTTAAGTATGTGCAAGAATTTCAGTTGGTGGCAAATATAATTGGGTCTGGCTAGCAAGTGTTCACATTTAGAAATGGGCGATTGTGTGTGTGCGTGTGTGTTTGGTGTTTATTGCTGAACATTTTCAAAAGATATTGAATTGTATATGCTTTTTTTTCGAAGAGAAGAAAAAGTTGCATAAAACTTTTGTTCTGTTAATTACTTGGAAGAAGAATGTCCATTGAGTTCAAGAATGTTGGGCAAGTAGATGCACAGGAATTTGATTGTAATTTCAAAGATATTAGTTGTCAATGCGCAAAGGTGGTAGGGTGTTATTTAGAGTTCAGATTATGTCCCATGTTCAAATAATTTGAAATCTGATTTGGCATACGTATTTTGATTTTGTGTAAAAGAAAAGGTTGTCCAGACATTGATATTATTTCTGAAAATGGAATATATTTTACTCCAAGTTTAGGTACAGCCCTATACAACGCTACCTTCTGATTTTCGTTATTTTAGACGTCTCTGTCCAACCAAATCGGCTGTAACTTGACATTTCCTGTAATTTGTGATTAGATTTAATCTTCAACTAAATTATTCAACGTAAGTCATATTTTATATTCTCAGCCTTATGGCAGCTACATAGGGTATATAAGGCCAAAATGTGCCCCATCGAAATAAAGGTTTTAGACCTTAGGTCTCTTTAAACGAAAAACATTTTGGGACATTTTGAGTCGACACTGCCATACCCCAGGAAATCTCTCGAAATGTGGAAATAGAATTGAATTTTAGAAGTGGTTGGTTTCAATCTAATGGGAACCCTAAAATGTTACAGCCAATCCGTTGGCTGTTTCTTCATCCTCATATAGACCGGTTCCCAAGCTCCAGCTTTTACGATGAGAATCCACTTGAAGCAGCTGACATAATGGCTCATCGGTATCGCCTTAACTGTGGTCTAGTAAAAACTATCGGATTTTTAGAGGTAGGTATTTGTAACTTTAATACGGAAAATTATTTTATTTTTGAGGGACGTGACCTGATACCCAAACTATATAACCTTTTAAAAATGCATGGATATGGGCAATTATTTTTCTTGGATCTTTGATCTTGGATCTTTGATCTTGGATCTTTGATCTTGGATCTTTAATCCCCTGTCCAGTTGAATGATGCTTTTAATCCTAAGTCCTTGCCGAAACCCTGCTATTGCACAAAGTATTACATTTAGATAATTTTTGTTCGGGAAGCCGGTATAGGACATTGCACCGAACAAAATTGCACGTCCTGACGGATGGCTGTCTATTTAATAATAGTATCACATTTAGAAAAACATTTTTCGAAGTCCGTCATCTAAAAAAGTATTAAATTTGAAAAACATTGGTTTGCGTAGCGCATATTGGCCATATTCATAGAAGTCTCAAGCCCAGACCAAAGACCAGCTACTTAAAAAAGTATCAAATTTAGAAAAAAAATTGGATAGGGCAGCGCGTAATAGAAACCCTGATTTTGAGTCCCTTCTCAACTTTGTGGGGGTTTATAAAAAATCCGGGTCCAAACCGTGAGCACTTCTTAGATAGATATTTTCATTAGCTATAAAATGATTCATTGGTCTTGGATTCGGACTTTCGGGTTAAATATAAGATATCGGGGCACAAATATCTACCACTAAAAAATAAAAAAAAACAATTGATTGTAACCAAACTAGAATTGTTCCGTCAATAGGTAGATCGTTCGACTGGGAACCACCCCGAGGTTAATTCAGCAAGCCATTTAATTTCCCATTAAATTGCTATATCCTGGAACCAACAAAACTAAATGAATTTACAAACGTATTTTAAGAGGGCTTTCTTGAAATCAGAAATGGATCTCGATATGATGGCACTTGACTTAATCGCACTTGATCATTGTCATATTAGGTCTCTGATTGCAAGAACTTCCGCTTGAACAGGCCAGAACCTTCATCCATTTTGGAACTGTCTGTGTAGATAGACAGAAAATTCACCACTCAACCAATCATATAAGGCTTCTGCGATATACATCTAATGTAGAATGAGAACAAAATTCAGTAGCGAATACTTTACAAGAAGATAATTTCCTTCCTTGGTATCCTCAGCAAAGGCATCGTGGGCAATATTGAACCACAACAAAATTGGTACCAGGCACGTGTCATTTGTGGACGCTATGCCACACTTTTTGAGGGCGACAATTACATGTTTGGAGAGCAGTCACCCATGAAAGATTAGAAAATGAATTCGGAGTCCTGAAACTTTTTAACTGCAACCTTGATTGCAAGACTATGGTGTCAATGTTAAACTCCTATCTCTAGAAAAATCCACTTCACATCAATGGCCATACAGCTAACAACACTGTGGTGATGAATGTGAAACTCGATGTTCAGATCTATGAGCAAATTATTACCGAATTTCGGTAATCGGCCTTTGGGTTTTTATGGATTTTGATAAAAGCCTTATTTACACCGAACATGATTTTATAAAAAGTGTTTCAATTGTCAATTCCTTGGATTATACATCAAAACTAATGACCGATTTCGCAAAAAAACGTGTAATTCGGGGGCTTATTTTCTGTTGAAATAAGGTTTGCCATGGGTGGCAACGCCTACCACTAGAATAAATTTGTAAAATCAGATATAAGTTAGTTTGTTTCAGTAAATATTGTTGCCTATATATTTTTTTCTTTTAATAACTCATAACTAATACTTGGTTTTTAAAAGCTGTATTCAGTTCTTCGAACCCCTCTTTAGTAATAATTTTAGTAATAGGGACACACATAATGTATATATTTAACCAACTTTTTTCAATTTTAAGTCATTTAGAAATAACTCCACAACCAGCAAACCTTATTTTACTACATTGTTACACTTGTTTCCATCTCTGATCGCAGTGACTATGAATGACAATGGCAACCCTATCGAATTTGACAGATCTCCACACAAACTGACATTACATTTGTTAACATTATTCTTTACCAAATTTCACTGGAATATTGTGCAAATTATAACTTTTGATATGAAAACACGATTAAATATTATTAATCAGTAATAATTTAATGGTTCCATTTAATTTTATGAAAAGAAACACTACACAAAAGAATGCAAATTGCATCACATTAAATCGCACTCTCTCTTGAATTATTTTATTCGCTCTCTTTCTTCTCACCGCGAACAACGGCATTTGACATGAATTAAATTAGCCGCTGGCTGGCTGCATGCAACTCTCAAAGTATTCCACCAAAATATGACAGATATATTTTCACTAATTTTATGCACTTTTTAGAAACAAATTCAACAATATAATTTAACTTAATTTAATTTGCACTCTTTGTTAAGTGCTCAACAACAAAATGTTTATTTGCACTTTTTTTGGCCAGCACAATTCAAAAGGCCAACTACACCAATCAACAAAATCTTTTGCAGCAAAACTTTAATAGATTTACAAAAGGCAGAAAGAAAAACAACAAAATAGCACAAAACACAACCCAATAACGACGACGAAGACGTCGTCGTCACCGTCTTCGTTGTCTATACAACACAACACCGATTTTATTCTTATTTATGTTGGCCTATATAGTTCCGTTGTATTTTCTATAAGGGGGGTTTTGCTGCCGTTTTTCCCGAATTGTTTGACCGACTACCGCCGATGGGAGGGAGAAAGGGAGGTGGAGCCCGCAACACCATACGCAGTCTACTAGTACATTACAGGAAAGAAAAAACTTCTACTCTTTGTGTAATAGTATTTGCTGGTTGGTGCTCTTCTTTGCTTCTTCGTATGTATTCACTACAGAATCTGATGGCTGACTGCCTGACAGCTTGATTTTCTATGGAGGTTTGGGTTTTTCTTTTTTGCATTCTGTGTTGTGTAAAAATTGATTGCCATTAATTTTTCTTTCACTTGAAATTCTTTCGGATTGCATTTGTTTCGAAAATTGTTACATTTTCCATGGCATACTTTCCACATAGGTACCTACTAAATAGCAATTTTTCTATTCTACTTTTGCGTAATTCTTCACATTCACTTGAAAATTTCTTTTAATTTGTTGTGGGGAAATGTTATCTTGGCTTTTTTGGGATGAATTCTCAGACAATTATTTCGTCGTTTTCTTTTTATGCACTCAACAACTCACTCGCTACACACAAACACAGATACACTTTTTGTGGCAGACAGTAGAAAACTAAAATCTTGTTGTATTTCTATTTATACACATGGAATTTTCTTTGTTGCTGTTTCGTTTATTTGATCACCGAAATTCCGCAAATAGTAAAATTACGAATATTAAACGCGTTACCGAATAAATATCACTTATTTTTCTATGAAAAATAAAGCACAAAAATATGTTGACTGTTGCTCGGATTTAAAGAACGAAGTCGTTTGAGGGACTGTAATTGACGCCGTAAACGACACGGTTGCTTTTCTTTGCAATAGGAATGTATAGATCGATTTTCGATAAATGGTCTTTTTTGTGCGAGAACTGCGGAGATAAATCGATTTTTTTCTTGGTAGTTAAATATTATTTTTGAGAAAATGCATATGTGCAAGAATGCAAAAATTTTACTAACATACATATTTTTCCTTTTTGATGTCGAAAAAAATGTGAAACTAGTACATTCTTCCTGATTCTGGAACAGAATAAATAAACTTGTCGTTAAAAAGGCATTCATTTGACAAAAACACACGGAAATGGTTAATAAAATTGTTAGAACATATGTAATTCCGTATAATTCCGTCTGATAGAAACTTCCCAGTTACAAATGTCTTCATAATTGTTAAATATGAAGGTCGATTTTTTCAGTTATATATTTGCGTTTTGTTTCAATGTAAAATTCTTCAGTTGGTCAATAAATTAACCATGATTTATCTTACAGTACGTTTATATATATGAGGGTTAACCCACTGGATTTGGATTAAATTGTCATATCCATTACTTTTACTTCAAATAAATCCTCTCAAAGTAGATTAACCGTACAAAAAGTTCTAACGTAAACATGGCATAACAATCGAAATACTGGCAAATCATTGCATTTATTATTAAAATACGTGCTCTGTTAAAAAGTTTATGGCGCGCTACCTCTAATTTTTGCTCAGCGTCTATTAGGGCTGTTGTGACTAAAATTCACACTAAATTCTCATTGTTGGATATTACACCGCCAATACGCTTACGTATGGTACGAACTGAAGAAATATCGCATATGTATCGGCCTGTTTTAATGATGGCCATCAACTATCGATTCATTGCCATTAGCAGCAATTGGGGTCTCTATTATTTAACAACGTTGAATACTGTCTGAGTGTTCCAAAAATACAGTTGGTTCAAGAATTTAAACCGAAGGAGCTACGGCATCGCTGAATTTTTGATGAATGGGTTCTTGGAAAGTTGCCCGAGGATCCACTTTTTATTTAAAAAATGTGGTCAGAGACGAAGCTCGTTTTTGGCTCAATGAGTACGTAAATAATAAGAATTGTGGATTTTGGAGTGAAGATCAGCCAGAAGCATTGCAAAAGTTACCAATGCATCCAGAAAATTCACAGTTTACTGCGGTTTATGCTGTGAGTTGTAACGTAACTGGGAATTGCGGACGCGCATTGAAGATATTCGCCAGTTTTGCCATGGATTTGAAAATCAAACTGTTTAGATCTAATTTTTTGAAAGAAAACCAAGACATTCAATTCATTTTTCACGCTATTAAACTCATTTTAAAAATCGAATAAATGAAAAAAAAATATTGCATGCAAATTTGACAGGAAGTGGACATGGCCTCAGTGGTGTATTTCTGTAGTTTGTGAAGCTATTCTACCTCCTTATTGTACCAAGGGCCGTACTATTAATTCAAATACATTTTTCATGCATTTTTACGAATTTCATGTGTTTTTATTTTATGTCATTTTCTTAACTTTCTCTTTGCACTTAAAAAAGGTGTAATTAAATATAATTCAACAATAATCCATTTTTGTATTTTATGTAAATACTTGTCATATAACGACATATAAACAGCTTACCTTTTTAACTATACCACTCATATATATCACCGATTATTCTTCTGATAGTTTACACATATCTATCGAAAATCTCTAAATAATGTCGTTCTTAAACGTTTTTTTTTTTTTAATGTTAACATGCCTCTGTCGCATGTACATGTAACATAATATGTCAAATTCAGTTGTGTATGAAATTTTGACATTACAAGCCAATATTACATTTCTTTCAAAGTTAGTCTACCTTGTCTTCATTGTACGGCGGTATGGGTAAACTTTACAAACCAAATCAGTTGTTTTGCTAATTTGACAACTTGTTGCATTAATTGATAGTAATTTTAACATTACAATCCATACAGGCAGGCCTTTATACTTGCGACATTTTCCAACTTAGTCTAAAGGGCTAAGTACATAAGAAGCTTGAAGTCATGGCACGGCCTAGTTTGTGACATTTCACAAAGGAATTACAGAGCCGCACTAAAATCCTGCCGTCGTTTTTCATTATAATTTGGCATTAATATGCCTAGCCATGACTTCAAGCTTTTTATGTATTTGCAGCCTTACTTGTATTCATTGTACCATGCATGAATTTTCAATTTTTAAAAAGTATTTTCTCTAGTTTTTACAGTTTCAAGTATTGAGTCTTTTATCCAACAGTAGGCAACAAAAACATGACTTGCATTGCATAAATTGCACACGCGGCAGCTTAAGGTGTAATATTGTTTCCTTTACCGATAGATGTCACCGCTATAGTTTGTAGTGTTAGGTTTTTACACCGTTATCGTTACATGGCATTCATGCAAGGATGATATCTAGAAGGAGCTTTTTTAAGAGCACTTTTAAAGCGCCATGACAAGGGGACGCTTTTACAGAAGATAACATCTAAGTGCATTTTGCTGTAGAACATGTTGTTTTTTTCAATGTATCATGTTTTGTTTGTTTTGTTTTCACCTGCATGTGTGTATGTAAGTGTACCTTTGACAACTGCCTCGTATGAATGTCTTGCCAGAGGCGTTGTTCAAGTTTTATCTATTTTAAATAGTATTTATCATCATCATTATTGAAAGAAATTAAATGTATGTGGTTATATGACAATATGAAAGAACAAATTCAAAGAAGGAAAAAATTATATGTCCAATGAAAATTATTAAAATAAATAGATTTCATTTCAATTGTTGGCATTTATTTCGGATATTGTAGTAAATTTGTCATTTTCCCTTTATGATATCAAAAAATTGCCAAAATAGTAGATTCCTGCTGGTTCTGGAACAGAGCAATAGTATGTTGTCGACTTAATTGAAATAAGGGGTCTGCAGTGAGATTCTGTTATGCTCTGATCCAGTACCTGCAAAATTTACTTGTTTTGCAAATTTCTTCGAATCATAAAGGGAAATCGGTTATTGTAGTAAAAACTTTTACATTTTTGCAGTTCAGGAACACACCATTATTAATTTTTATATCCTCCACCATATCATGGAAGGTAATTTAAGTTTGTCATTCCGTGTGTAACACCTCGAAATATACATTTTAGACCTCACAATATATACTTATATATCAGCATAAATTCTATGTGATGTGCGTTCGTCTGTCCGTCTGTGGAAATCACTCTAGCTTCCGAACGAAATGAAGTAGGTTGATAAAATTTTACTCAAATGTATATTATGTCTGCAGGATTTTTGGTATTGGGCCAAGTAGGTCCACGTTTTGGTATAGCCCCCATATAATGGTACCTGCTATTTTCGGTATTTTGGCGATTTAAGCGAAATTATTCACCGAGAAATGCTTAAATTTTGGTATTTGAAGTTCGTAATGGATACCTTAGCCTATGACAGAAATTGTCTGTGCAGGTCCAAGTCTTCGTATAGCCCTGACAATTTTCCGTCATAGGCTGTAGTATCCATGACGAACTTCAAATACCCAATTGAAACAATTCCTCTCAATAATGTCACTAAAATCATCAAAATACCGAATATCGGGAGTTACCGTTATATGGGGGCTTTACGAAGACGTGGACCTGCACAGAACATTTTCTGTCATAGACTGTAGTATTCATTACGAACATCAAATACCAAATTTGAAACATTTCCGGTGAATTATGTAGCTAAAATCATCGAAATACCGAATGTAGGGATGGTACCGGTATATGGCGGCTATACGAAGCTCTACTTCAAATAATATGGGCTGTATCGTGATTTCAACAGACAGAAAGACGGACACCGACTTAGAATTTTATGCGGATCATGAATATATATACTTTATGGGGTTTACGACGAATATTTATGGGTATTACAAACGGAATGACCAAGTTAATATGCCCTTCATTTTAAGGTGGAGGGTATAAAAAGGGGTCTTTAGGGGTCATGTATGCAGATCGTAATGATTCCCTTTTTTCGATGCATGTCAAGCAACTACCACCCTGTATGCAACACTTAAGAGTTCTCTATGCTTGGCTGCCCATCCAATAATGGGTAAAAAAAAACAATTGTTGTAATTGTATTCTCTCGTTCCGGCCTTTTATATTCTCACTCTCTTTCCCCAACATCATTCACCTCTCAGCAAACAACCCACCCCATAATTTGTGAAAAAGAGACTCCACACCGCACACAACATGAATGTATGAATGGCATACGCTCTAGATAATAATTACGTATTAGCAACAACATCAACGACAACACCACACACACAAACTTTTCATAGCCATCGACGAAAGCATGGATTCATTCAACAAACATTGAACGAAAAACAAAACAAAACATTTGCCAAAGCTAAAACATGCTGATGATGACAAAAGCATCAGTGTGAATTCTATTTCTACCCACCATTCGGAAGAGCCGCTGAGACGGGGTGGCGGCATGCGAGACTAGATAACGAATGCTAAAACTTGCAACAGCCTCCGTAGATTGCAATGCGAAAAACTCAAACCAAATTGTTGGTAACAGCGCTGGGTAGCGGTAATGTCGAACTAATAAACTGTCAAAGCGTAGCTACAACGAAAAACAATTTTTTCTGTGAAAAGATAAACGAAATGTTAGTGACAAATTAAAAAAGGAAAGAAACAAACAAAATAAAAACGCGATA